TCTGCTTGAATACTGGGGGCATCTTTCTGCATTAACAAATCTCTTTTTTCACCAGAGTCTTTGTTTGTTTTTACCTGTTGTGTTGTATTCCATATATTTTGGCTTTCTTAAAAAAAAAAAAAAATCAGGTGGAATGATGGGGATCCACAGATTACAGTCATGATACTTCCTTAACTCTTTTTAAAGGCTGAGTGTTCCAGGCCCAGGCCAGAGGGTGCTAGAGCACTTTCAAAGTTCATCAAAGGCTCCATGTGTGCAGCAACTTTGGCAGAAAGGTAGCAGTTTCCTTCCACCCTCCATATTTCTATAGAACTCTCCAAGTAATGCAGGGAGTTCTCAGCCCTGAGTGTCACAGACAATGCTTTAGGGGGAACTCTGAGTGGTCCCTTACCTAGGGACCACTAGGCCTCGGGCATAGCAGAGAGGATCTGGAAAAAGGAGGAGGAAAAGGGGCAGGAGAGGGAAGACCAGAATGGATGGGGGAGTGGGAAGCAAAAAGTAGTTAGAAGAATAAGGGAGTAAAAGACCCCGAGAATGCTGCTTTGTGTGGAGCTGGGTGGTACCAGCCTGAGCCACCTCCGCCTGCCCTCCCCCCGGGGAATGGGAGCTTTTCCAATGAGGTCACGCCAAGGCCCTGCTCTCTGATTTAAATGCTTGCGTGTTCACTCACTATCAAGCTTTTCCAATGCTCACATCTGGGCTGCATTACCAAAGAGGCTCATGTGTTTGCAGAAGATAATTTACAGCAGCAAATAACAACCCCCCCGGCCTGGAGAAGTCCCCCCAGCAACCTGGGGGAGTTTGGACTCACATGGAAATGGAGAATTGGTTCAATGAATTATGGTGCTTAAATAAATTATGGGGCATCTATCCACTCAGGTGTCACAAGCATATTTAGCATGTATCACTGAGCTTTTGTAACTGAAGAAAAGACAAAGGTTTAATCCTGAAGTTCATAAAGGGAACACTAAGTGCCCTTCACCTTTAGTGTTTTCTTTCTTCCATGCAGAAGTGGTGTGTGTTTCTGAGCTGCTCCCTGCACCCTGGGAGGAATTAACCAAGAGAGAGTCATCCCCCCACCCAGATCTGCACCCCGGCGTTTAGCTCAGGACTCAGTGAGACAATGGGCATCAAATATTTAGCCCAGTGCCTGCCACAGGGTTAATGTACATATCAGTAGAGAGAAAACTTGAAAGCAAAACTATATGTTTTTTTTCTTTTTCATAAACACTACAACTTGAAAAAAATTGATATTTTCTTATATTTTTATAGCATTTTGCAAGATCACTTTCTATCCTGATGTCTGTTTATTTGTCACAGCCAACTTCAACAAGATTGCATTTACCATCTCTAGTGCATTGTATCAGACTCCGGGCGCCAGGAATGTGGGGGATTTGGGGTTTGGAAGGTTATGATTGTATAGTTTGAAAATTCCTAGGATGATTTAGATATGCACCCCCTCTCCCTGTGAGGAAACACTGAAATGCAACATACTAAAAGAAAAAAAAAAATCTAATCTCTTTTATTAAAGTGACCAATTGTTCACTGTAAGAACACCATAACTTACTGAACCTAATCTTCATTGTTGGCATTTGGATATTTTTAACCTTTTGCAATGAAAATAGCCATGATGCACATCCCTGTAATGTGCTACCACTGTAGGGAATCTTTTGTCATTGTGCATTAACTACTTTGTGACTGTACCTTGGTGACTGCTTTCAGTTGGAATGGGTAAGTCACAGGGATGAAAGGTACAACATAGACATATAGTCAATGGTTATAGCATTTTATGGTGACAGAGGGTAGCTACAGTTGTGGTGAGTACAAGATAATGTACAGGGTCCTCAAATCACTATGTTGTATATTTGCAACTAATGTAACATGGTGTGTCCACTATACTTAAAAAAAAAAGAAAAAGAGGTCCTGAACATTTCTAGAGGCTCCTGTATTAACCAATATCCAAAAGGAATCAAAAGCTATCTTTAAAAAAAACTTTGAAAGGGGGTGTGTGCTTCTGGGTAGCTCAGTTAAGCATCTGCCTTCAGCTTACATCATGATCCCAGGGTCTTGGGATTGAACCCCACATCAGGCTCCCTGCTCAGTGGGCAGTCTCCCTCTCCCTCTCCCTCTGCCTCCCTCTCCCCTGTCACGCTTTCTCTCACACACAATCTCTCTCAAATAAATAAATAAATTTTTTTTTAAAGCTATCTTTGGTTCTACTCTTCAATGACTAAAAATATAGCCAACACAGGTAACTTCAAGGGTTGTTGGTGTTATCTATTGGGATGTAAGTCTCACCAATGGTTCTTTTCTCTCAAAAGAAGAGGCTGGAAGCCCTCTGAGAGACACCAGACTTCACAGGGGCTATAACCCCCTTCTTTCATAAGGCCTCCAAAGAATGACATTCCACTGAGTGACCTCCATCAGTTCACTTAATTCTTTGTGTGGTTTTGCTTTATCATCTCTTTAATTAAGTTGGAGTTAACAACAAGTACTTAATTGGAATAATAACAAAGGCTATTATGATCTCACTATACTGTTGGGAAGAAAAATTAAGTGAATAATTAAGAGCTCGATAAGGGTTTTAAACATACAAGAAGTTAAGGGAAAGTCATGCCATGTGATTACGGGACGCTCTCGAGATAACACTCAAGTAAGTGCTGAAACTCATGGAACAAGTAGCAGGCTACTTGGGCATCTCAGGAAGCTGCTTCCAGAAGATAGGGCTGCCTTATGAATGACTGAATAGAAGGGAAGACAGGGTTTTCTTCCCTGGTATTTTGAGACCAAAACTAGACTAGATATCAGGTGTCAGAGAACAAGTTCACAATCAGAGAACTAAATAAATGGTATCTGTTAAATTCTCCAAAGACAGAGGATTTTGCTGACTAGTTACTAAGCTGCATAAATACTGCACGTGAGTGCAAAGACAAAAATGCAAGGATCTTAACCACAGCCTACATTAAAATATACATAATTGGAAACAGCCTAAATGCTTCATAGTAAACCAGACCTCTAAATTATGAAAGTGTGAATAAATAAAGTGGATTTTTAAAAAAAATATACACAAGGAGAAATCTCCAGGATAAAAACAAAGTAAGTCACCAAGCAATGTGTCATTCTTATTTTTCTGTAAGAAGGGAAGGTGTTGGGGGATGGAAGGGAGGGAGGAAGGCTGGAGGAAAGTAAGTTTATATAATATGAAATGTTTACAGTGAAAATATAATTTTTTGTGAAAAGAACATTGATATATGTTGAGCCTTTTTATTCACACACAAGATTAAAATTTCTAAGATTAAAATGATCCCTGCTTAGTTACTAATACACACTTTTTCCTACTGGTTGTTAGTTTGCGTTTGCCTTTTTCTCCCCTTTCTATAAACACAAGAACTTACATCATACTCTTTCCAGGAAAACTCCTGTTTTTCTTTAGAATTTCCACACATTTCTCCATATCAGCTATGCTCCTGGACAAATCACCATTTATGCTACATCCTTCCTGGGTTTCAAAAACATGTTTTCTAGTGGTATGAAAGAAATTCTAAGCAAGCTATCAGAGCAAAAAGAAAAAAAAAATTGAGGATTGTCAATACTTTATTTCCTGAGTGAGGAGCAGTTATTGAGAATCACAATTCATATAAAAAAGATGCTTAAAAAAAGGGTAGGATCTCTTACTCCATACTTTTGGATTTCATGGAGCAGACTGAAGTTTAAAAAAATGTGTAAATCAACATGATTTTGCCAGTTAATCACAGTAAAAAAATTCCAAAAAAGAAAAACAAGAAGCTTCTACTACTATGTGATAAAACAAAGCTTGCTCCTCCTTCTTTCCTTCCTTCCTTCCTTCCTTCCTTCCTTCCTTCCTTCCTTCCTTCCTTCCTTCCTTCCTTCCTCTTTTTAAGTAAGCTATCAAAATTATAAAAGCATCTGCCTCTGAACTAGACTTCCCAACATGGGTCTTGAACTTATAACCCAGGGATCAAGAGTTGCATTTTGTACCTGCTGAGCTAGCCAGGAACCTCACACAAAGCATATTTCAATATCCAAAGACAACACAAGCTCAGAATACAGAAACATTCTTTAGGTTGATCTAGCTTGATGAAAACTTATTTAGATTCCTGGGAAATCTACTACCTTAGCTTATTTTATCATATTTGGCTTCAGACAAGGAAAATAACTTATCATGAAATTTATCATCAAATTCAGGTAGCAAGGAGAGCTGCTAGTGCACAGAAAGGGGCTTTCAGCAAAATTGGTCATGTTTTATTTCTTAAGCTAGCTACAGGGACACAAGGTCACTTTTTATAACATTTTATTTATTTTGCAGTGTGAATATTTCATGTGGAAAACTATTCCCATCTTGGACTGGCTTTAAGAAATCACTGATTGAGTTGAACGCATCCATTTCTGGAGAAAATATGTACGGAGGCCTACAGGTATGGGTAAGTGACTTGCCCAAGCAGAGCCAGAGAACAAGTCAAGGACTCCTTACATCCTTCTCAGCAATTGCTCTGCCTGCAAGCTGAATTCAGATTTCTGCACTGTTAAGATAATTCTTTCCATGAGCGTTTGTTTGCATTTTATCTTCAATTCAAGCTAAGGCGTGAAATTGTATAAAATTCAGTTCTTGCCACAGTCTCTAGGAAACCTTCATACATAACATGTAACAGTAAATGTTTGCCATATTTCAAATTATAAAAATCCTAAAAGTATACTGAGTTGAAAACAGCCTTATGTATTAAAACAAACTACCTATGCTTTTCAGCTTTAAATTGATCCAAGGACTTTGAGGAATAAAGGAAGATGGTTCTATCCTTCATCTTCAAAGAAAACAGTTCTACACAGTATCTATAGCAACTTAGTCTCCAGACTAAGACAGTAGAGAATCTTTTTCACGTAATAATGTTTTGATAGGTCTGTTCTTTTTTTATTCTCTATCTGATCACCAGAATTTTTTTTAAAGGGAGGTGGGAATGCTGGATGTTTCTATGGATACATACCTTACAGCAAAGTGCAAAATGGTGGCACCTGGTTTCTTGGGCAGATCATGGTCAAGAACTCGGTGATCTAACTGTAGCCAGTTTTGGTGACCTCTATGAGGGCAAAGCAAAGAAAAAGGATTAAACAGAAGGTCATGGCAAGGTTCAATAACACACAGTGTTGGCAAGGCTGTGGCGAAACAGTTACTGTCATACATGAATGGTAGGCATATACCCTGTTACAACTAGTAATGAGGCCAATTTAACAATTACTACCAAAGTTATAAAAGCATCTGCCTCTAAAGCAGACTGTCCACTTCCAAAAATTTACCAAGGTAAACTTGACATGCAAAAAATGGCCTATGTATAAAGTCCCATACTGTAGCATTGGTTGTTAATAGCAAAAAGGCTCAAAACTACCTATAAATGTCCAACATGGTGTTGTTTAAAAAATTAATTTAAACTGAGCAATAAAATACAAGGCGGCCGGCCATACAAAAGATGGAGGGTATCTTTACAAACTTGTTTTGAACAACTTCTAAGACATGATGTTAAATGGAAAAGCAAGGTGCCTAACAGTGAGTACAGTATATTAAAATTTAAAAATATACACCCACACATAAATAAAATATCTCTGAGAGGATAAACAAGAAAGTGAGAACACTGGGTGCCTCTGGAGGTAAAAAAAAAAAAAAACTAGGTGAAACTTAACATCTTCATCTTTAAATTCTTTGAAAATATGATATCTGAAATATTTTACATAGTCAAGAAGGGAGAAACCCCTGGTTTTATGAAATTAGACAGACACAGATAACAATAGTACAGCTTTCTAAAAAGTACAGGATCACTATTCTCTGAGTGCTGTTTCTATACCATATATTATGGACTTCCTAATATTTGAGCATGTATTTGTTTATTTATTCAAGAGCCCCAGCAAATTCATGACTATAAGCAGTTCTCCTTAAATTTTGACCTCTGAGGGATCCAAAGGATTGATGATGCTATGACTTGGGATTGTTTTCAGGACCTTTTTAAGGGTGTCCAATCAGTTGGTCTGTTTTATTTTTACTATTACTATTTTTAGATTTTTTTTATTTACTCATGAGAGATACAGAGAGAAGCAGAGACATAGGCAGAGGGGGAAGCAGGCTCCCTGCAGAGAGCCCAATGCAGGACTCCATACCAGAACCCTAGGATCACAACCTGAGCCAAAGGCAGATGCTCAACCATTGAGCCACCCAGGTGCCCCCAGTTGGTCCATTTTATTTTATTCTTTTTTATTTTTAAAGATTTTATTTATTTATTCATGAGAGACACAGAGAAAGAGAGAGGCAGAGACACAGTCAGAGGGAGAAGCAGGCTCCATGCAGGGAGCCCGAGTGGGACTTGATCTCGGGTCTCCAGGATCACGCCTTCGAAGATGAAAAGGAGCTATCACTACGGACTCCACACACATTGAGATAATAATAAGAGTAATAGTAACAACAATAATAATAGCAGCTACTCTCTGCCAACTGAGCCGAAACTTTTTATGTATTAAGGCTGTATTTTATAATAAGGTTGCAAAAAAAAAGTGGCAGAGCCAAGATTTGAGCCCAGACCTGGACTATAGGATTTTGTATACAGGAGACTAGAGGGTTGAATCAGCTTCTTTAACTTTTGGCTGAATCTATCCCTTACTAGTCTCAACACTGGAAAAAGTGTGTCTTTGTTTCTGCAGTTATAAGATGAGGCTTCCAATACCTGTCCCTAGCTTTCCTAGGAGGAATATTATAAAGATACATAAACTGATACAAATGATTTAAGGGGAAAGTTCTTAGAAATACTATTTGTTTAAAATATATATATTATATTACAGTATTAGAAATACTATTATACTGTAAATACTGTATTATAAACAGTATTAGAAATACTGTTTAAAATACATATATTAAATAATATAAATAAATATATATATATTATATATATTTTAAACAAACAGTATTGGGGTCTAGAAGGTAAGAGAGTCTCCAGCCGTATTTCATCCAGTTTAGAATTGCTGATTAAAAGACATATGCCAATTTCAGACATGTTCAAATATGTGTCTTAAAGTCCATAAAATAGTACAAAGAAAGTTTTCTTGGGAATATGAGACTAATTTGGAATCACTCTTCTCGCTTTTATATAAGAAGGATATGGCATTATAAGAGCACAATGTATATTTACATGAACTTGCATGAATAATGTCCAAGAATGAACAAAACAAGTACTATAATAACAGATATAGCATCAATCAATTATATTAGCCAAAGAAGCACGCTGAAACACTATTATACATGGATGAAATTCTTATCGTTCTGGAGGGGTACAGAGCTAATTGCAACATTTGGAGTAGGAAGGTAATCAAAAGGGATTGGCTTACATTATAATACTAATTTTTTTTTTTGTAAAAAGACATTCATGTATTTGTACCATAAAATTAATTTTTAAAAGGATACATTAGAAATTAGATTTAAAAAATCCACCCAGAGCGACACCTGGATGGCTCAGCGGTTGAGCATCTGCCTTGGGCTCAGGTCATGATCCCAGGTCTGGGGATGCAAGGAGCCTACTTCTCCCTCTGCCTATGTCTCTGCCTCTCTCTCTCTTGGTCTCTCATGAATAAATAAATAAAATCTTAAAAAAAAAAAAAAAAGCTAAAAATCCATCCAGAGGTGCCTAGCTGGCTCAGTTGGAAGAGCACCGGTCCTTGATCTTGCAGTCGTGAGTTCGAGCCCCACATTGGGTGCAGAGATTATTAAAATAATAATAATAATAATAAACCTTAAAATAAAACAAAAAACTCATCCATAATCTCACCAAGACAAAATTAGAAGAACAAAAAATTGAAAATTACCCATAACTCTATCACTGAGATATAAAGTCAACGTGTTCTTTTATATAGTCTTTGAGACAGATAAAAAAAAAACACTTAATGCTTATAACCTGCCTTTCTCAAGTTTTTCCATCAGCAAATATAGTAGATCTAATCAATATCTCAGAAAGACAGTTGATTCTCCACATTCACTTCTATCAAACTGTGCAGGTCAAGCCTAAAGCACGCTTTTTTTTTTTTTTTTGGACTAGAATGTATCAGTCAAAAAGCCCATCATCTTACACCCATCAAATGGGATAAGGATCAAAAGTCACAATTGTATTGTGAAATCTTTTTTTTTTTTTTTTTTTTTTGTAAACAAAGCTTATTCAGCAAAGCCTTTCAAAACAAGGAAATTCAAAAAAAATGGAGTGGATTGTAGGGGATGGAAATCATTTTGGTGAACTTCAGGGCTGCTGCCTCAGGAGGGCGAGACTGCCCTCTAGAGGTGAAATACTGCCTCTGCACGCAGACCACCAGGAGGTACTTCCAAGTGTAATCTCAAGGAACTCTACCCTTCCATCCAATAGGACCATGGATTTATTTTTGTTGGTCACCATCACTACTTTTCTTATGAAACTGAACAATTCTATTTTTCCATTTCTCTTCTTGGCCTGTGGCATGGGGCATAGACAGTAGCTAGCCAGTTTCATTGACAAAATGCCCCCTTCAGCTTTGCTTTATTCTGTTGGGAGAAGTTCACCAAAGGCAGACGGCTGATGTGGCATCTAAGTTGGAAATTCAATTCAGACAGCATCCTGGGAGGGATCTGACTCAGTGGTTTTACTGGGGGCAGGAGAAAGGGAGTGCTGAAAGAAAATACTTTCCAAAAATATTTACCAGACAAAGAAAAAAGAGCTAGGCTTGTGACCAAGACATTCCAAGGAGACACCCTTAGACAGAAGCAATTTTCCAGACCTGTTCCCCAGAAAGGTGGAAATGGCCAAGTCTTCCCTCCCCCCTCCCAAAGCCCAGCTCCTACTTCTTCTGAAAATAAACACAGCTACAGCCAGAAGACACCTTCCAAACTGGTCATAATTCAAAAATAGACTCTGCTGTCACTTTGCAGGGGAGTACACCAAAGACAGTTTGGAGTCAGGCTTCTTGGAAAGACTATAACCATCAGCCACTGTCGCCAAATGAGAGAGCCGAGGAGACGTTTGACTGAGACATTCTTCTCCCAGTAGGGGATTTAGAAAGAAATCCCAGAGCAAAGGAGGGGGAGAGGTGGCCCAAGGCATTAAAGGAAGTCATTCATATTATTCCTTTTCTATCTGAAGAGAAGGTCTTACAGCTAAAGGACTGATTTATGCACTGTTTAGTTATGCTCACCTGATCCGAGAGTTTTCCCAGAAGCCATCCACGTGGCCAGGACCCCCCTTTCCAGCCCATCACGAACCTTGTAGCCTGGGGAACTTACAACACCAGCCATAAATCATGTAATTCCGGTGCATGACATCCTACTGTGACCTAGATGCTCCCCCATCTACATGACACACAGGGCTCACCTACGATCTTGTCCCTCTCATATCTTGCCTCACCATCAGGCCGGGCTCCTCACCAGTGGACACATGCACCATATTCATCTCCATGCTTCATGCACTGGGCCACAATATGAGTCTTCCCTGGAACGTCATCTCCCATTCCTCTCCCCTCCACCTCAAGTCTACCTGCCCTTCTCTGTCCATCTGTAGTTACCGTCTTGTGCAAATTCCACTCTAGCCTTCTTTTAGCCCCCCTTCTGGACACTGGACTCGCTGCTGGTGTCCAGCTTCCTTTTAGCCTGTCTAAAAGGTGTAGCTTCCTTTTAGCATGTATCTGTGCTATACCCACGCTAACTTAACAGTAAATAATACTGGCACCCTATTACGTGTGTCTTACGTAGTCCTCATTGTACAGAGGTACAATTATTATGCACAATGTACCGATGAGAACACTGGTGTATCAGAGACACTCCACAATCCTATAATAGCCACTCTCTGCCTCCCTCTCAACCCTTAACATGTACCACTTTCCTTCTTACTCTCTATAGTCTAGTCACATCGGATTTTTACTCAAAGACACAAAATTAAAAAAAACCCAAAGCCAAGCTCAGTCTCACTTCAAGGCTTTTGCACTGGCTTTTGCCTGGAATGCCTCCCTATACTTTTGCCAAACTGGTTGTTCCCTTTTATTACACATCACCTTCTAGAAGCCTTCCTTGTCCATCCTATCTAAAACTGCACCCCCCCCCGCTTTTCTTCATCATGTTCTTTTTTTTTTCTTAAGATTTATTTATTTATTCATGAGAGACACAGACTGAGAGGGAGAGAGACAGAGACACAGGCAGAGGGAGAAGCAGGCTCCCTGCAGGGAGCCCGATGTGGGACTCAATCCCGGATCCTGGGATCACAACCTGAGCCGAAGGCAGATGCTCAACCCCTGAGCCACCCACGTGTTCCTCATCATGTTCTTCTAAGCACTTATCATTTCAAATAATTTCTTGTTTATCTATTTGCTTGTTCTGCTACACCATACCACTGCAACATAAGCTCCATGAAAACAAGAGCCTTGTCTCTGTTCTGCACAGCTAAATCTCTAGGACCTAGAACAATACCTGGCATTTGGGGAGCACTCAAGAAATATTTTTTTAGTGAATAAATAACTCTGATATTCATGTTTTTAGCCTCTATCCTATGTGATCTCTCTAAATTACAGTGTTTATAGCACTTAGAGTTCAACCATATAGCTTAGCCATTATGTATTTTAGGTTTTATGTTTGCATAAAACTTACACTGTTTGCAACTGTTGCGTTCACAGTTACTTTCAACCCTGTGTGTGTGTGTGTGTGTGTGTGTGTGTGTGCGTGTTTCATCACTGATTTACTTGAAATAGCCTTGTCTTTCCAGCTAAGAGCACGTGGGCAACGGATGCCTGCATTTCCTATTTCATCCAGCAGAGGACTGATCAGACAGGGTCTCAAATACCTGTAGGGTGAACTGATAACTTTGTGATTCATAGTGAAGTGGGTGATGTCTGGTGTACTTTTTTTTTTTTTTCCTGGTTTGTCACATCCTATTCAGGAAGCATCCTGGGTGTGGGATCAAAGTTTTCAGGTTTTTCTGTCTCCTGACAAGTGACTGCCTCCTTTTGCCCAGCCCATATCCCAGCCCATGGCCATTTCCCCTGGGGAATCCTATGCTTGTGGCTCACTCAAGCTAGAAATAATCAGAAGTAAGGTGTTAAAAAAAAAAAAAATTAACCCTTTGTTGAGATTGTTTCCTGTGGGGTTAAAGAACTGAAAAAAACATTTACACTGGGAGAGTTACAGAAAGAATGCTGGGTAATAAGCCAATGCATTTTGTGTCTGGAATGCATTTTCTTGAATTTAAATATTGGAAGAACTCTTTGGATATTATCCCCACAAAGAGGAAAAATTCCTCTGATAATCTATCAGGCTGCAAATAGTGTAGGCAAATTGGACTGTCATAACACACACACACACACACACACACACACACACACACAGGAAAGAACTGGTAAGACCAAAGACATTTTTTTCACATGGAGTTTTAAATTCTTATGATTTTACTGTTATATACATGTCTCATTTCACTAAGCATTTAAATCCCTGATAAACGCATACAATGTCCAAGCTGGCATAAAAAATGTAAGCAGAAGAAAAAAAAAAGATGTAAAGAGGTAACACAAAATGGGCCTAGGTGGAAGTGGAAAAGTTCTTTCTGGATTAAAACTATAAATATATTTTTCAAGTGGGCCACAGATTTGCCTTTATTTTTTAATATATTTTTTATTTTTAAAGATTTAATTTATTTATTCATGAGAGACACAGAGAGAGGCAGAGACACAGGCAGAGGGAGAAGCAGGCTCCCTGCAGGGAGTCCGATGGGGGACTGGATCCTAGCACCCCAGGATCACGCCCTAAGCCAAAGGCAGATGCTCACCCACTGAGCCACCCAGGTGCCCCTATTCTTTTTAAAGAATACATTTGCCTCTAAACTTTTTGCTACCAATACCTAAAATATGAATTTTCTTTTCAAAACACAAATGGATGACAATCTAGTATTTCTATCACTGATACATAACTGCGGTACAAAAAATGTGCAGATAGGCTACTAAGACTGATGACCTCATTACAATAGATTTCTAAAACATTAAGACAAATATTTATGTTTAAAAGTGATCAGTGGGGGATCCCTGGGTGGCTCAGCGGTTTAGCGCCTGCCTTTTGCTCAGGGCGTGATCCTGGAGTCCCGGGATAGAGTCCCACGTCCGGCTCCGGCATGGAGCCTGCTTCTCCCTCCTCCTGTGTCTCTGCTTCTCTCTCTCTCTCTGTCTATCATAAATCAATCAATCAATCAATCAATCAATCTAAAAAAAAAGTGATCAGTTTTCCCTTTCTTCTCCCTTTGCAATAATCCCAGGAGAGAAATCTTGTATTAAGTAGTCTTTAGGCAGGAAATATTCTAATTCTTGGAGCATTCCCCCCTTGGTGTTGATTGTGAATGATTAGTAAGCAGGTAGTCCACACGAAAGGTAAACAAGTAAAAATCATTAAAACACTCACGTGTCATCAGCAAACGTTATTCCAAAGTACTCCTTTTCTTTCAGGTTGAAATGTGAGGCCACAAGGTCCAGCAATTCTCTTGATAAAAGTTTGGGCTGTTAAAATAAAATGTGATCAGAAGCAATTTGGCTGCCTTACTCTCTTATTGCTACCACCCTTCTCGGCTCCAAGTAGTTCAGAGCAGCTTTTGTTTGTTTGTTTTTAAATATATCCGCCTCCTTTTGCTGCTTAGGTTAATCAACTATACATGTTCCAAGAGATTGGAAAGGGGAAGAAATCCTAACAGGAACATCAATGAGATCATCATTTTCATGTATTTGCAATCAGTCCAGTATCTTACTTTTTCCCCTAGGGGAACAGGGATGATATTTTGGGGAAAAAAAACCCTCTTTTATACGTAGTATGGTGCTAGTGACCAAGACAAAGAATATCAAACATGTCATCATCTGGTTTGTAGGAATAACTTTGCTTGGTGGGGGTCAGCTGAAAAGGCTGAAGACCCAAGGCTCTGGGGTCAGGGGTAAAACTACTACTCTACTCCTGGTTACCATTTACTGTGCTGAACTCCTTCTATACATTGTCCCATTTTGTCCTTATCATGAGCCTATGAGATAGGGGTTCTTATTGCCATTTTAGAGATGAGGGGGCCAAAGTCAAAGAAAAACTAGATCCTTGGCTTGATGTTACAGTCAGTAAGAGCAGGGGATTGAACCTGGTTCTGATTCCAAAGCTGAAGCTTTTCATTTCTCTCTAGAGATGGAGTAATTTTACCCATTGTATAGATGATTGTCACTAGTGTTTACTAAGCACTGAGTTAGAAGAAAGATCTAATCTATGAGCTTTTGAGAAGTACTGGGCCTGGTGGCAAGAAGCCTGGATTGGAATCAGGGGGAGCATCCAGAGTGAGAGTGGACGCCTGATTTGCAGGGACACAGGAAGGAAAGGGGGATACCCAGGAGGGCATTTAATTGGACTCTTTCTGAACTTAGAGTCAAACAGCTTAGGGCTCATTATGGTGCTTTGAGAGTTGGATGTTTGCTGTTGGGGAAGAAAGAATGGTCATAATTTTTTTTTTAAGAAAGAAGAAGAAAAAAGAAACAAACAGGCAGACATCTAGACTAAGAGGTCTACTCTGGTGAAACACTGTTGACTGTACTATTTTCATTCTAATTGAGGCCTTTGCAGAGTGGGAGAGAACTGAGCCTCAGAAGGGAGAAGAATTTAGATTTTGGTTAAGGGAAAGAGTTTGAGCTGTAGCTACTGTTGTGGCTATCAGATGGAATTTCCACAATTTTTTTAAGGTCCTTGGTCCACAGTGTTGGGTAAATAAAGAGAGAAGGATCAACAATTAAAATACCACCACTCAAAAAAAAAAAAAAACCCACCTCCACTCATATACTCCCATTTATTCTACAGAAAGATTTCATTTGCAAATATAATCTAGCTTGATTCCAGCCATAATTCTATGAGGAAAACTAAGCATTCTCAATCCCAGTTCACAGCTATTGCAGCTGGGTATTTAACTTGGACAATGTCATGTAGCAGAAAAGTGGCAGGATGCAGATTTGCAGCTTCCATTAGCCCTTTAAGGAAAACATGGTATCCGGTTTACCAACAAGAGGTTCAGAGAAGTCAAATCACTTCCTGGGGGTTCACACAGCTACTGAGTGTCGGAGCTGAGATTGGATCCCAAGGGTCTAAAACCCATGTCACCAGGCTATAACTACTCTTACATGTAGATCAAGTTTTCTGACTTAGAAGCTGTTCTTTTGCCCCTTAAACAATCCCAAGTCATTGACACAGATAAGTGAGTAACCTGAAAACAGGCTCACGGAGGGAATCAGTATAGGCTATTCCTGTGTGGGCAACACTTACCTGAACCAGAAGCTCCAGTCTCCTATCATCCAGGAGGTGTACCTGGCAGTGCCTGCCTTCTGTCATCTGTGGGGACAACACAAGAGCGGCATCAGGGCTGGGGCTGGGCTGGCAAGCAAACCCTTGAACTCAATTTATAGTTTATTTCACATACGATGTATTCAAGAGTAAAAATGGCTTCAGTTGGGTTAATCGGTAGCCTTGATCATAAACAGACTTACTACATGGCATTAGCTCTTGAATTAATCAATCAATTAGTTAATTTGCTAGTGGATTTAAAAGAAGAAAAGAAAGAAAAGCAAAGACAACTGAATATATTGAAAAAATAATGTCTATATAGTGCACACAAGATTATACTACAAAAAGCTAGTTTCCTTCCCAGAGGAAACTACTATATTTTTCATTGAGTCAATATTTAATTTTTTCAAATAAAAATGCCTAGATTGATGTATTTTAATAAACACAAACCATGCATAATTATAAAGGAAAACATATAACATTAGAATTAAAATTGAAAGTCTTCATCTTTGAAATTTCTGTCCTTTTTATAGTATATCATTACTGTAATTAAGAACAGTTAAGATACACAGTAAAGGGGCAGCCCGGGTGGCTCAGCAGTTTAGCACTGCCTTCAGCCCAGGGCCTGATCCTGAAGACCCGGGATCGAGTCCCATGTCAGGCTCCCTGCATGGAGCCTGCTTCTCCCTCTGCCTGTGTCTCTGCCTCACTCTCTCTCTCTCTCTCTCTCTCTCTCATGAATAAATAAACAAAATCTTTAAAATAAATAAAGAAGAAATGCTTAAAAAAGATACATAAAGAACGGTAAACATCAGTATATATTTCCAATCATATTCACTTTTTTATCACTTATAATACTGGGAAATATTCTTTGTAAAATATTTATTATTTACTTATTTTTTATTTATTTTTTAAGTAGGCTCCACACCCTGCATGAGGCTTGAACCCATGACCCTGAGATCAAGAGTCATATGCTCTACAACAGAACCAGCCAGGGCCCCCTGTAAAATATTTAAACAATGCACAGAATACAAAGAGCTCCCTTAGCTAATGCATGCTCCAAATCATTTTATCTGCAGAAATCACCATTCAGTCAATTTGAGGAGAATCCATGTAGACTGTTTTTACATGTATGTTCAGATATATACATGTACATATATTCAAAAATTTCATATTAAATAGTTTGCTTTGCAATGTTATTATATTGGACATATTGTTTTGCAAATGAAACAAGTATTCTTAATATTCGTGTGTGTGTGTTTGTGTGTATATGACCATCCAGAAATTTCATATATGACTGTGTGTATAGAGTCTGTGTATGTGATTCTGTCTATTTATAAACACACATACATGTTATGTATATATATATCTATATATGCATTTCCTTTTTCAGCTCAAATGGAACTAGGCTATATCTTGGTGATCTTTCCATTGTCAGCACATATAGACCATCTGCATTCTTTTCAAAGGTTCTATAAAATCAAGTAATTGTGTAGACATATAATAATTTAATAGTCTCCTGCTGAGAAACACTTAGATTGCCTCCAGTCCTTCATTCTAAGCAACGTCACAGTGAACTATGCATACCCAACTTTGCCCACAGATGAGGACCTTCTGGGTCACTTTTAAAAAGCATGAGCAGCATTTTATCTCTCAGCTATTGTACCAGACTATAAGACCTGGAAACTCAGATACATATAAACAATTCAAAAACAAGATCACTCCATTACTAAGCACCAGCTATAGACTTAGTATTGTTCCAGGTATTTTATAGATATCATCTCTGAGCCGCATGGTTACCCTGTGGGATTGTGGTTACTATCTTCAATTTAACAGATGGGGAAATTGAGGCTCACAGAGGGATAAGTAATGTTTTCAGTGTGAAAAATACTAACAATTACATTTACATTTTTTATTAAACTTGGCTCTAAAGTTTAATCAAAAATGTAAATGGTGAGATCATGGTTTATGGAGATGTGGCTCATAGAAACCACTGAAGTACCGTAAAAGGTGAGCGGGCAAGCTTTGCTTTGTCCCACAGCCCCTGATTACATCCTTAACTCTGCAAAGCTGAGGTCAAATACACACTTTTGGTGACGAGGAGAAAGGGAACAAATATTAGTTTGTTCCTGGTACTAAGCTGGGTACTTTATGTACATTATTTCATTAAAGCTCCACAAAATCCATGATATGACAACATCCCTATTCTACAAAGAGACCAAGGTACAGAATTTATTTATCCAGTTATCTGAGCAAGAAAAAAGCCAAGTCACAATTTAAATTAACGTCTAGCTGAACAATACAAAAGTCATTCTTTCCCTAGAAAGAAATAAATGTGTCAGGTCAAATCACTTTACTTCTCTTGTAAAACCCACACAAACAACCCCCAAATACATGTACTATGGAAAGAGAAAATAAAATAACAATCAAAAGATCAACTGACACAACATGCATCAAATATGGCAAAACTCATAAAATATTTCAAGTTACTGCATTGTTGCATGAGTCACAAATAAATGAATTTATTTCCTAATTTTCAAAAAGCCTCTTTTTTTCCCCCCCGTTACACCGTGCTTTGCTCAGATTCGTGGATTCTCCTTTTGTCAACACCCGATTCCATCCTGGATAATTAAATAGGAAATGTTTTTCTGCGGGGTCTGCAGGAGGCTCGACAAACACGGGGGTGGGGGGGGGGTGGCGGCCAAGTTGGTACCACTTGCTCCTACCCCATCAGCTTCAGGCGTCGCTGATTGGACCAGAGCAGAGACACCTGCCTCAGGCTGGGCCAATCATATCCTCAGTCCCGGGAATCTGGCCTTGAGGATGAGAGGATGAGAAGGCGGTTGCCGCAGGGGCGCGCTCACCTCTGCTGTGTGTGCAAAAAGGAAAACCATCTGCAGAGAGAGTGAAGGACGCAAGGAGCCCTAGAGGGGGAAGAGAAATCATGCAACCTGAAAGGGCAAGCTTGAGAGAGTTGCTGTCAGGGTTTCTTTCTTCCTTTTTTTAAAAAAGATGTTATTTATTTATTCATGAGACACACACACAGAGAGATAGAGACACAGGCAGAGGGAGAAGCAGGCTCCATGCAGGGAGCCCGACGTGGGACTCGATCTCGGGTCTCCAGGATCAGGCCCTGGGCTGAAGGTGGTGCTAAAGCACTGAACCACCCGGGCTGCCTGCTGTCAGGGTTCCTTTCCTTTCTTTTTTTTTTTTCTTTCTTTCTTTCTTTCTTTCTTTCTTTCTTTCTTTCTTTCTTTCTTTCTTTCTTTCTTTCTTTCTTTCTTTTTCTTTCTTCCTTCCTTTCTTCCTTCCTTCCTTCCTTCCTTCCTTCCTTCCTTCCTTCCTTTCTTCCTTCCTTTCCTTCCTTCCTTCCTTCCTTCCTTCCTTCCTTCCTTCCTTCCTTCTTCCTTCCTTCCTTCCTTCCTTCCTTCCTTCCTTCCTTCCTTCCTTCCTTCCTTCCTTCCTTTTTTTCTCTTCCTTTTTCTTCTTTTCTTTTTTTTTTTTTTCTGCTGTCAGGGTTTCTAATGTCATTCTAGTCACTTGCAGAGTCACTTGCACTGGTTTGGGTGAATTCTTGCTCTTACCTCCATGAAATACCCCTGTGTTCCTTTGGTAAATCCACTTTTTTTTTTTCCCTTTCTGAAACTAACTTGAGTTAGATTCTGCTTCTTCCAACTAAAAGCATCTTCCTAAGATACCACAGGTATCTTTTAAGGATTTTTAAGGGGGGAGGGGCAGAGGGAGGGAATCTCAAGCAGACTTTATGCTGAGTGTAGAGCCTCACTGCGGGGCTCTATCCTAGGACCCCGAGATCATGACCTGAGCTGAAATCAAGAGTCAGATGCCTAATCGACTGAGCCTCCCAGGCGCCCCAGATACCATGATAATGTACACCTAAATCAGAGAGGAAGTTTCCAAAGGATGGTCTCCCCAGCTGATGTTATTAATATGGTAAAGTCATCTAATTCATAATCACTGAGGCATCACCAACAAATACAACAGCCAGGAGAAAGGCTGACATTTGGTAAGGGAGAACTGAACAAACATCTCAGTATGTAACATGGTAAGATACCATACAGGACAAGCTAGAGATGGGCAGTGCAGATGAACTTGAGGGGAAAAAAATGCTATAGTTTGATGCCCACACTGGCACATCCATGCTCTGTATTCACTGAGCCCTTTTCTTGTGGGAAGATGGCTTCTCTGGGAGGCCAGGGTACTGATTTGATCATTGCTAGCAATTGCAAAGTCTGCCCTTGACACTTATTTAAATCAGAGGTTGAAAGGTGGTGGGTGTCTGAATAAATTCTTGCTAATGATATTAGAAATCAGAAGATGCCACTTAAGAAAAATTTAGATGGTATGATTTGGAAACACTGGGCTGGATTTCTTCCATGGCAACATTTGGCTAGCTTGGGGCACAGCAGCCCCTTCTTTAGATGGGGTTTGTGGTCTCTGCTTCGCCCAAATTTATTATCTGCCAGGTTCCTGGGAGTCATGCCATGAGAATAAGCAAACTTCTATTTAAGTTCACATAGTACCAGGGAAGAGACAAAACCAACGTCAAAGAAGGGACGCCTGTGCATCAGGCCAAGTGCTTGACACTTGACCTTCATTAACATATAGTATTTCAGTTTCTATGTAAGCTTCTGAAAGGGGCATCCTCATTTTGTGGTTTTTATTATTATTTTTTTTCATTTTGGAAGGTCTTCCTCAATTCCTCAATTTAAGCAACAGGAAACCAGGGCCTGAGAAATGATGGCATTTACACAAGAGTTCTAAGCCAGACTTGGGCTTGAAATGATATTTTATCTTTTTTCTAGCTGTGTTACCTTGGAGAAGGTACGTAACCTTCCTGAGCCTCAGAAGCAATGTCCTGGTAGCTTTCAATCTGACACCCTGAGACTAAATAAACCACTTCCACAAAGCAGTCATTATACTCCTTATTTGCTTGAAGCTTAACAAACAGCTAATAAACCTTCCTATAATCCATTTATTCTCCCGTGAAAAAGAAACAAATAGAGAAAGATTACTAACCGATTTTGAAG